GGTGATCCAGCACTGCCTCCCATGGGGATAGTGGGTTTGGGCTCCTGGGGCTGCAGAATTTGACGAAAGGTCTGCATGCATCGGTCCTCAACTTAGTTCTGAGCCTTGAACACACTATTAGCATACAAATGAACCCTGGGAAACTGGGAAATACGGCTAAGGTACAAGGACAGGGGTAGATGCCTTAATCTGAATATGGCTTGTGACCGATTTCTGTCTGCTTGCTCACCCATCTATTTTGAACATAATTAAATTGTGCAAATTAATTGTAATAATTTCCAGAGAAAATCACATTACCTTGGTGATTATACTGGCCCCAGAGTTCACATATTGCCGTTCAGGTCTGAACATGAACTTGTACAGGAGGGTGATTATCAGCACCAGTGTTACTGTCCCTTCATGTGACTTGCAGGTGATCACACCTGGCCTTCAGAATGCCAGTTACAAGAAAAAAAAGGCAAAGAAAAAAAGGATATGCTAGTTTTCAGCTTTTCAAGATTCCAGAAAAAAATACTATTTACAGTCCCTTGGGATGGCAGCATTTGGAGAGCACCAGGCCGTGGTCTGGATTTTCAGATGGATACAGACCTGGGCTGCTGACCTCCAAGCCCCCTTGCAGATGCATAGTTACCATCCTGACTCTCAGAGAGAGCTGTGTCCCTGCCACGAGGGCCCAGCCACACCCGGGGTTAAACCATGCATGACCCTCCCAGCGTCTACCCCTGTCCTTGTACCTTAGCCCTTTACCCCGTGATCAGTAAGCGCCCAATTGGTGCTGGGACAGAGCCCACAAGAGGCTCGAGTCAAGTGCTCTCAAGGACAGCGTGATTTTGACAGCCCTCCTGACACCACGTGGGTCAGAAAGGTATATTGTAAGATGTTCCTAAATATAACTCCTCAGGGTTGCGTGAAGTCTTGGGAGAGAATGGAGAGAGAGATTTTCCAAGTAAAACTTGGTGCCGTGGGCTTGCATCAGCTCATTTTAGATCATTGCGACAGACACTCCTGACAGCATCATTGTGCCAAAGGCCTGACTTGTTTTTCCTGTCCCCACTCATTGTGGCTCTTTACCCTCTGGGTCAAAAAATAAAGCATAATTACAGTGTTCATTGTTCTTTGACCAGCCTGAGAGAACATTTTCCTGCCCTTGTAACTTATTCCCCCAGGGCCCAGGGCTTTCCAGCAGCTGATGGAGATGGTGCGCAGGCTGCTCTGGGTGCCCAGGGTACTCAGGTAGAGGACAGGGTCGAGCACGGGGCACGCTGCGGATACACCAGGGCTCACACACGGGCCGGCACACTGTCCGTGGCTCTTGTGGTTGTAAGAGGCCAGGAGAGCAGCTCTTTTCGATCAGAGTTTCAAGGAGAGCCTACATTTCCATGGGACAGTATCGCATGTTGCAAGTTTATCTTTGCAAGTTTAAGAACTGATACACCTAGAGAATTATGTCCTTTATTTACTCCCTTCATAAGCCTGATCTGATTTCTCAGCGTGTCTGGAGACTTGCTCTTTCGCATGAGGCTGTGTTTTGTGAGGTCATTGCCTCTGCTCTTAGATCTACTCTCCAACCTGCCGCTTTGTGTTGCCAGAAACTACAGTCCCAGGATCTCTGGTGTTTGGCCAGTGGAAGGCAATGGGGGCAGCTGGAGTCTGGAGTGTAGGATGCTACCGCCAGGCAGGCGTCCCTGACTCCGGCTCTGACCCTGGGTGTTGGAGCAGGAATCTGGAGGACTTGAGGAAGGGAATGATGTGGGCAGCTGAGGAGGATACTGGGAGGGGTTAGAAGGGCAGTGTGGCCCGAGGTGGCCAAAGGACAGGTGAGCTAGTGTTTGGGGACTTTCATCCAAGTGAGATGGGACAATGTTGGAGAATGTGAGCAAGAAGGACAGGGTTGGGTCTGAATTTTGAGGATCAGCCTGGACGTCATGTCAACAGGTTGTCAAGAGTAACAGGAGGAAGCCTGGCACACTGGAGTTCTCTGTGTCATTCAAGCGAGAGATGACCATGGCTTAGACCCCGCTGGGAGCAGCAGAATCATGAGAAGCAGTTGCTTCTGAATGTATTTGAAGACAGAATCCCCAGAATTTGCGGATAGGCTGGATGTGGGGTCTGGCTGGCGACGTGCATTTGAAAGTCACCAACCAGCCAATGGAGAGCATTTCAAGCCATGAAGTGGGAAGAGATTCAGGCACGAGTGTAAACAGCAAAGAGAGGAGGAGGTCAGGACCTTGCCAGAGCCCTCCTGGGTTAGAGGTTGGGAAGATGAGGAGGAAGCAGCAGAGGAGCAGGAGCCGAACTCGAGAGCTGGATCCAGAGCCCACGAGACAGAGCGTCTGGGGAGGGAGGAGCGGCAGGTGTGCTGTCAGCCACAAGACGACTCAGGATGGCTGTGGGGTTTGGTGACATGGAGGCCACTGGCAGCCTTGGCGGGGCGGGGAGTGGCGGGATAGAGCCATGGACCCAGCACAGGGTGGACAGCTGTTTCCAGGAGCCTCTGTACAGAGGGGCAGAGAATTAGATGGTGGGAAGAGAGGAACATGGGTCCGGAGAGGCCTGTCTCATTTGTGAGGGGGGTGTTACTCATGTTCGTGTGCTGAGATCATGATCCTGTCACTGTCAGGGGAGGGAATCGACGATGCAGAAAAAGAAGGAAGAGCTGCAGGAGCAAAATCCTGGAGCAGGCAAGAGGGGCGAGGTGTCCCCACAGAGCCACCGCCCATTGTGTGACGGGAGGAAGAGGGGACAGGAGACGCGGGCAGGGGGAAAGGGGTCTTTCCTAGCCGCTTCTAGTTTTCTCTTGAAGAGGGAGCAATGCTCCCCACGGATGGAGGGAGAGGTGTGGGGGGTCTGAGGAGAGAGGAAAGGTGTGAGCGTCCTGCAGGAGGTGGGAGGGTGGTGAGCGCACGTGCAGGCGGTTCCCCTGCAGATGGATGGACACCGTGTGCTGCTTCTAACTCAGCGATGTGTCTGGAAGATTGTGCATCCCGGTTTACAGAGCTCTGCTGTCCTTGGAAGTGGCTGCACAGTATTCCATGGTGTGAACATCACATAACTTGTCACAGTCATGATTTATCATTTATTACATTATGCATATTGAAGCCGTCCCCTCCAGGTGAAAACCTAGGCTGCTTCCAGGGCTGGAATGCTCGCACGTCACGTGTGTCTTCTCACACGTTTTGCAGTGTGCAAGCACGTGCTCAGGCGGGAATTACTGGAACAGCGTGTGGATGTGGTTCATTTCGGCAGACAGGAAATTGGTCCCTCTTAGAGGCTGGCGGTCTTTGCTCCCAGCACAGTGTATGCACACGCCGGGCCCTCTCTGATACAGTATGTTTCCTAACGTTTCGGTATTTTCCAGTCTGTTAAGTGAAAATAGTGTCTCATTCTACTTTTTTACTTTTACCGTGCTTTCTTCGCACAATGAATGAAGATGAAGACCTTGTGTGCTCTTGTATTTCCTTTACGGTTTCCTTTCTGTGATTTTCTGTCTGTGTTCTTTTCCCATTCTCCGATTAGGTGGTAGGTCTTTTTCTTATCTAATTATAGGTGCTCTTTCTAAGTGTTGGAAAAAAATTGGCCCCTTGCCAGTACTGTGGGTTGCAAACATTTTTTCCCAGTGTGTTTGTCCTTTGGCTTTATTTTTCTTGCCATTTTTTGTACAGTTTGTTTTATCGATTTGTTTTTATGGCTCCTGGGGTTTTCCGTCACATTTAGAAGGGCTGTGGGAGGAGCACAGGCCCTGGTGGGGCGTCTGCAGGCAGCTTCGGAACCACTTTGGCAACGTGGGGATAAGGATGCCTGGAGAACGTGAGCATGCGTGCGTGGGAGATGCTCGTAAATGGTTTTCTTTTCCTCGATGTCAATCCCTAAAGCAGGCCCACGGCAGTAGCAAGGTCAGTGCTGTTTGCATTCCAGAATTCTTCTAAAAAATTGCAAATAATTTTCCTGGGCACGTGCTCTGTGACCCTCTGAAGTCCATCCGGCCGGTCCTTAGAGGTGACGTTCACCCCAGAGAGCTCATTTCCGGGAAGCACTGTCCCGAAGTTGCCATGGGTCCAGGGGCAGCTGAGGGCCTGGCATCTCGGAGGTGGAGCCTCCTTCCTCTTCCTCA